GAAAAGGGGCGGGGCAGGAGTATTTGGGTTTGAGCTAGATCCTGGACTGACTTGAATTCAAAAAGTGATCTTGTGCTTGAAAAGGTTGGAGACCCCTGCTGTAAAGGACTTGGGGCTCTGGCCCCATGGCCGTCAGGGCCCGATTCTGCCACCCTCACCGCCCGGCCGATTTCAGTGGGACTCCGTGAGCAGTAGGGAGCTCGGCCAAGAGGTGAAATGGAGCTGTGGACAGAAGGGCAAGGACTAGGCACCGGCCCACTAGCTCCCCGTTCCAATAGCAGCAGCTGGCTCTGCAGCTGAGATTGGGCCCCTGGGGGTGGGCGCGCCCTGCCCCACGGAGCTCAGAGCCAGACCAGACAAAGGGCAGGAGGCAAAACAGCGACTCTGAGTGGGGAGGTGACTCCCCCAAGGCAGAGACACAGAACCTCAGCTGCCCCAGTCCGGTCCACTTGAAGCCTAATCCCAGAACACTAGAACTGGAAGGGCCCTCGAGAGGGCATCAAATCCCGTCCCCTGCCCTCAGGGCAGGACCAAGCACCAGCCAGATCTTCCCTGACAGGCGTCTGTCCAACCTGCTCTTCAATCTCTCCAGTGTTGGAGATTCCACAACCCCCCCAGGCAATTTATTCCAGGGTTTCACCACCTGGACAGGCAGGAAGTTTTTCCCGATGTCCAACCTCAACCTCCCTTGCTGCAGTTTGAGCCCCTTGCTTCTTGTCCTGTCCTCAGAGGCCAAGGGGAACAATTTCCCCCCCTCTTCTTTGCGACCCCCTTTTAGGTCCTTGAAAACGGCTCTCACGTCCCTTCTCAGTCTCCTCTTTTCCAAACTAAAGCAGCCCAGTTCTTTCAGCCTTCCCTCATGTTTTCTAGACCTGTAACCATTTGCGTTGCTCTTCTCCGGACCTTCTCCAATTTCCCCACCTCTTTCCTGAAATGTGGGGCCCGGAACTGGACACACTACTCCAGCCGAGGCCTACTCAGCGCAGGGCAGAGCGGCAGAAGGACTTCCCGGGTCTTGCTCGCCACACTCCTGTCCATGCAGCCCAGAAGGATGGTGGCTTTTTTTGCAACAGTGCCGGACTGTTGACTCCTATTTAGCTTGTGGTCCACTGTGACCCCTCGATCTCTTTCTGCAGCACTCTACACCGCCTCTCCTTTCCAGCCAAACGAGCTGGGCTGGTTGACACGGAGGGAGGGTGTGTCTGCTGGAGCTGGAGGTGTTATTTCCAGCTCGTGTGGCCTAGTTGCCTAGGGCTTAGTTCGAATTCCCGTTTCTCTGCTGTGTGTAGCCACGTGGCAGTTACTTCGGGCTAGTGAAATTTCAAAATGGCAACCGGACGGGAACATGCAAATAAATCCCCGGGATATTTAAATCCCCGGCTTCATTTGCAACTCCGGTTGCCTGATTTGCCTACCTAGCTCGAAGTAACAAGCTAGTGTAGACATACCCAGACAGACACGTCCTGGAGCCAACTAGCCTGTCCCACTGCTGGGTCTGCCGCAGCTCCCTGGAACTGACGCCTCGAGCCGAAGAGCAAACCTACCCCTGCCTGGCACATAAGCCTACGGCTGGGTATTTTGCACGGGGAGGGGGCTGCATTTCCCCCACCGTTGGCAGAATCGGTCCCCCAAGCCTTTGCAGGATCGAGGCCCTCCCGGTTTGGGTTTCCTCCCCCTTCCCCCATTTGTCGTCATTTACTCGGGTTGATTTGGTGTGTGCGTGCGTGCGGGTGTGACGGTGCAGCCGGCCGCTTTCCAGTCTCTGCTGTTTGCGATGTGACCGCAGTGTCCTGTATCTCCCCCCTCCCCCAGCCCCGTGGCATCGATGACACTGCGTTTCTGTACTGCTGGACATTTTAATAAATTTTTTTAACAGTTAATAAGCCCCCTGCAATCTGCTTTGCCTTTTATTATTATTGTTATTATGCTGGGCCTTCCATTTCCTGTCCCGCACGCAATGACCCAGCTGAGGCTCTCGGCTCCTGCGCTTGGCTAATTTAATGCTGCGGGGGCATCTTTCGGCAGCTCATTCCCAACTTAGCCGCCGCGCGTAATTATATTCTGTCATTCTTCTCTATTTCCCCCTGTCTTCCTATTTCCATTTCAATGAGCATGAAAAAATTGGATTTTTTTTGGGGGGGGAGGGGCTGTTTGAGCCTAAAACTCCAAAGACTTGAAATGTCCCAAGGGGTTTGGGAGCGGGCAGGACCGAGGCAGGACGTATGTCAGGCTACGAGCCAAGTGACACATGCAGCCGCCCCTCCTTGGGGCAAGGTGAATATCCCACGAGCCGCGAGGGCCTTGTGGTGACTGTGCATCTAGGGGCTGTAAATGTCCCACTGCCTAAGTAAGAGACTCCCACCCATGTCTCAGAGAGGAGGGCAGGGCTGGAGGTGGGATGGGGGGGGCTAGGTTGGAGCTGTGGGGCAGCTAATGGGTTGCACTGATTAGAACAGACCCTGGCGTCTGACAGCCCAGGAATAGGAGGGGCTCAAAGCCACTTTCTGCTCTGCCCCAGGCTGCACCTTCTGTGCTCTGCCCCCAGGGGGCGCAGCACCGACTCTCTCCCCTTAGGCCCAGGGGCCGGATGTGGCCCCCAAATTGCCTAGATCCGGCCCCCGAGGCTCAGGGCTCCCGCTGCCCCACCGTGGGGCTGGAGCCCACAAAATCACGGACCGGGCCGTGTCTGGGCACAGCTGAGGGCGTCCGCTCAGGGTGAATTGCTCAAATCCGGGGCTCCTTACAGCCCCCAGACTGGTGACCTCTCCAAACAGGCCACACACCAGTCCCACAGAGCGCTCCAGCTGCCTGCCTGAAGCCTCCCGAGCAAAACCCCTCCCACACCCCAGCAATATCCGTGCCCCAGATGGCCCCGGGCCTCATACACAGGTGGGGGGTCCTAGCACCCAATCCCACCTACCCCGAACAAGTTCTGTCCGGTTCCAAGAACCCAGCCACAGATCCCTGGTCAATTTACCCTCTGGCCCTTACCCACGAATCACGCTGAGCCAATCCTTTAGCATCTAACAGCTAAAGGTTTATTATTACAATAAAGAAAAGCCTGAGAGTGAGGTTGTTAAAGAATAGTACGTTACATGCACCGAATCTCCCAGTCCTCAATGCAGGCTCTAGCAGAGATGTCACAGCTGCTGGTTTAAAAGTCCTCGTTGCGATCCTGGAATCAAGATGGGTTCACAGTTCTTTCCGGCTCTTCGATCCCTGCGTTGCTGCCTCTGGGATGAAGTGCTGAGCTGAAGACAAAGATGGCATCGACCACATGGCCTCTTTATACATCCTCCCTGGTCTCTTCTTGGCTGCAGCAGGTCACCTGGCGCAGCCGC